CAAGGGAAAGGTACAAATACTGGGTTATACATGCAACACTTCCATAATTAGAGTATTTGCCCCAATAAAATAAAACTTTGCATCACATATAGTTTAATAGCATTCCTGATGCAAGTCTGGTCTTGGAAGCATTCTCATTTTTACAAAGCTGAATTATATAATTTTTATATTCCCATATCATTTTAAAAATATTTTGTGGGAGAATATGCTTTATGGAACATGAATAAACTTGATTTTTTAAAAAAGAGAGAAAAGCTGTGTCTAAAAATAAGCAGGATGATTGGTGAAAATTCTGTAGAGAAAATTGAGGTAGATAGTTACAATACAGGACTTTGAATATAATTGCATCCTTCCCTTTACTGAGAATCATCTAGTAAAGGTAGGAAGGAGGCCAGTCTTTGCTAATTGATAATGCCTTAAATTAATATTCACTGAGCACTAACTCTGTTCTTAGCCCTCCACCAACCAACATTCTAGCATTGCGACTGACTTTGGCAGTGAGGGTGGGGAAGCAAAGTGTTTAAAGTGGCAATACAACTGTTACTCTTTTATGATGCTTTCCAAAGACATACAGAAAATCACATCTATGTATTTCTACCTGCTAGTAGGACTTAAGAAAAACCCCACAAGATTTCTAAAGGCGAAGAAGGTGGATGGTATTTATGATAGGGAATAGCATATGACATTTAAAACTCAGGCAATAAAAGCGTGGGATATGATAGAAAAAGGAAACCGTATTGGCCCTGGCACTTTGCCATGAAGTGGCAATGGAGATAGTTAGCAGCAACATATGGGAAAAACAGCTAAATGGCATCCCTTGAACTTATTTCTTCTTTGACCTTTTGAAGTTGCTGGGTTCAACCAATTTCCTCCTCGTGGTTACATCTAAGGAAGGTTCCAGAGGCAAGAACCAACAGTTCAGCAGAAATATATTGCTCATCACAACTTTCTATGGGAATGAAATGAGAGAGGACTAATAGCTCTTTGGTTAATTAAGCCCCACTAAATCAGATGACAGCCTTGGTCTATTGAAATATTATTCTACTGCACAAATATACATTTACGAGACTCTGGAAAAAGAATTCCCAATGCCACAAACAAATACTTTTCTTTTTTAAAGAGTGGTCAATATACAAATCTGAGAAGCCAGGAGGGCAAATCACATAATCTAAGGCAAACGAAATAACAGTGGGAACATGATAAAAATCCCATATCTGAACTAAAAAATGAGTTAGTTTTCTGGCTTTCTAGCAGTAGGCTTCACATGTACACAAGCGTACATGTGTGTTTATGTGTGTATACTACACATAATACAGAACAAGAATTAGCTTTAATTCTTGGTTTTAAGTCTACACTGTGTAGAAGGTGTATAATACACTGAAGTCAGAAGTCTTTCCTAAACTAAAAAGCAAAACTAGTCCATTTCAGCTGTGAATGCCAGTAGTGCTGAAACAAATAGAAAGCTGCATTTTTTTCCTGCTCCTCTGAATAACTTTGTAAGAAATATAAAATGACTAAAACAGTAACAGCAGCATCCCTGGACAAAATAATTTCAAAACAAAGCCTTGGGGCCTTAGATTGCATCTAATTGAAAGGCTACTCTGATTATGCTTGTTCTTTGATTTGTCAAACACAAAATTTGCTGAGGGACCAGAAAAGAATTCAAAATACACATTGAATTCTATTTTACCCCTGAAAGCCTTCTGCTTTTTACATGGAAAATTTGCTCTGACGGGAATGTTGCTAAAGCTGTGAAGGTGTGCCACCTTGAGTAGAAAAATAAAGAATATTATTTTTTATTTAAAGCATTATTTACTTAAAATGATGAGCTTTGCTGAGCAGTTGAGGAAGTATGGATTTTAACTATTCTATATTTGATCATTCCTTGTTCCTCACCAAGAAACAATGAGAGGACCTACAAGGCAAAACTCTGAGGTATAACTTCCTGAATAGAATTATTATGCCCTCACTCTCTGGAGTTTCCTTGCTTTGTTCCCACAATCTGATGTTCCCTGCCAACCAGGAGTACCAGACCTTAAATCTGTGTACAGTTTACAAGGAAATGTTGTATAATGAACATATTCAGAGAACAGCCTTTACAAACACCTTCTCAAGTGGTCTATTCCATTCTGCTGAGCATGGTTGGTGGGATACTTGTTTGTCTTACATCTAGCCTAACCACCACTGGCTACTTAAAGTGTGTTCAGCACTAAATTAAGGGGTTGTCTTAGATGAATACTGTTTTAACCAGAGTTCTACATAGTTCCCAAATAAAGTTATTTTCAGGTTAGAGACTTCCTTCCCTTTAGAGCTGATACGTGTACAGCAGGCAAATAGAGCTGCTCTTCTAGTGAGAGCTGCTATAAAATTGTTCTTTGGCTAAATTTACAACACCTTCAAGAGCTCAAGAAATGCCTCCCAGACCCCCAAAATGCAGCCAAAGAAAAAAAATGTTAAGCATCTGGGATGAGAGATTTACCTGTTCAAGAATCTTGAGAGTTTTAGGAGACAGTAGATTATATAGCAGAATAATTGATTGCATAATAATAATAATTGGAAATACAAAATCCAGATTGAAGGGGAGAAAGATTAAAAAGTTTGCATGACAGCATTATAGCACAAATTTCAGAGCACATTAGCCCACGTCTTAAAAATATGTGACTTATTTGTCATGGTCACAGGGTACCTTGGGACTCATTTGGGTATTGCTGGGAACAGAATGAAGAAGATGAGCTGCGCTGATCTGCCCTGAATGAAGCAAAATCCCCAGAGTTGCTGGGAAGTCTCTTCTGTTTTCAGAACAGATTTTCTCAACTCCAGGCCTTCTTCGGAGCCCAGAAAAAAATATATATCAAAGAAAATTTAAAATCCTGAGACTGCTCCAGCATGAAATGACCATGTGATGGGGAGCTTCAAATCTGCTCAAGCAGAATTACAGGATATTATTATTAGTATTATTATTTAATAAGAGGGATAGCCCTAGAATTTCCTTCAGCCACAGAGACCAGGGAAGTGGAAAACACGTCTGGACAGGATGATTATGGAGAACTCCCTTTGAGAGGGAAAAAATGTAACCCTAAGAGAGAATATCCTTCAGAGATATCAGGCCTCTCAGTAAAAGAACTCTCTCTCTTACACACACACACACACACACGCACTCACTCCCCATAAAACCCCTGCAAAACTGGACACAGCTTATGAAAGGCAACAGCCAGGCAGAAATTTCAGTTGTGTTTAGCATGAACGACAGGGTTCATTTTGCATGCAGTCAGGTACAGCGGCGAGGTTGAATGAATGGAAAATCCCACTCTTGAATCTTACATAAATATCTTTTCCCACATATAGTTTTCCAGTTGAAAAGCTGCTAGAATGAAGCCAGAGGTGACAGCCCAAGGTGGGGGTTGTTACCCGTTGAGATGGCTGTCCGGAGTGTTGTAACGAGGGCAGGCGCTTCCAGAGGGCCCCAACCAGTGTCAGTACCTCTTAGCTGCTTGGCGGTGGTACCCCATGCGAGAGGGTAGCGCCCTCCCATACCTTTTCTGGCGTCCCCTCTTTCCCACTGTCAGCCCAAAAATACTGCGGAGAAAAAGCCGGGTGGAAGCAAGCCTCGGCTGATCTGATCTGATTAGCAGCGCCGGCGCGCTGAGGGATTGTCAGACCGTGCCTCTTACAGAGGAAACTCTTGTGGAATCTTCAGGAAAGGATGGTAAAGTTGAAAGGACCCTTTCTTCCTCCCGTTAGCTCGGTTATAAGCTCTACCCTTTCATTAGCGCTGAAGTGAACAGCTGCCAGCCTGATTTTCCATTACGGACTAAGGTTGTGCGTTTGCAACAATAAACAATTAATGTTTGATTTCTTACATTTAGCAACGCGAGCAAACAACTGCAATCTCCGCTCGCGGCGGCAAACGGCTAGTCCTTGACGTGCCGCGGGGCTCGGTGCCTGCGGGAAAAGGTTAACGACGAGGAAACTTTGAGGTTTCTGCCAGATTGGTGGGGGGAGAAGCTTAGGTCTTGGGGAGGCAACGAGCGGAAGGAAATATGGATACCTGTTGGCAGCAGCCTCGGCGAGGCAGGTTTTCACTGTCTCCCAGCCTGGGAGTTGGTCCCTTGTGAACCTGTTACGCGCTGGCAGAACCCAGGCGACAGCCCTCGCTTCCTGCGGTCCTGCGAGGGGCGCGGCCCGCCCCCCAAGGGCTCGCGGAGGGAGAGCAGTGGGATGACAGAAAGCGAAGCTCGGGGCTCTGCGGGCGCTGGGAGAGGGGGTACCGAGGGCTCCCCGGCTCCGGGGGCTCAGAGAGCGCAGTCTCGAGGAGTGGGGAAGGGCACTGCCTGGGGGTCCTGCCGGGGTGCGCTGCAACATCTTGGCGCCCGCAGAGCGGCGGGGCGGCTGGAGTGAGGCGGCAAGTTTGCGGCGGGCACCGCGCCTCGCCGGCCGGAGCAGCCACTTGTAGGAAAGCCTCGCGCCGGGGCTCTCGCTGCTGAGTCCTGGCCCACCGCCCCGCCGCGGGGGTCGCCCTCCCTCTCCGGGGGTGGGGAGGTGCAGCCAACCGGCGAAAGGGCACCCCGGCCCCTTCGCCTTTCCTCCCAGGCTCTTCGGCACAGCCGGCAGCGGGTGCTTCCTATTCGCCGCACGGACCCCGCAGTGAAGGCGCGCGGCTGCCGCGGCGCCCGCCTGCACCGGGAGGAGGCGAAATCGCCAGGCGACCGCGGGGAGGGACACGGTCGGGACCACTGGAGGGGCACTGCCTGCCTGTTACTCCCCGGCATCTGACAGCAGTTTGCAAAAAACCGTTAGGCAAAACCCTGAGGTGTCTCCGTCATCTGTGTATATCAAAAACGAAGACGCAGCTCAGCCCCGCGCCTAGGCTGGGAACCCGCATCCACTGTCCGGGGGAAGGAGGCGCGCAAGGTGTCCGAAGGGGCACCGTGATGCCTGAAGGAAACGGACCCTTCTGGGTCCTCGGGGCACGCGGATACAGGGGGCGTGGGGATACTTACTCTTGAGGGGAGCTCCGCGCTGGCGAATGTCAAGCCTCGGGTTCACAAATGGCTGGAGGGGCTGAGTGTCGGCTGCCGAGAGCGGCGATACCCGACCGGTCCCCGCGCTCTGGGCAGGCGCCTCCGGCTTCCGTTCATGCCTCTCGGAGCTGCGGAGCTGGGTGCGGAGACGCGGGGCCGGCGCGCTGGGCTCTGGGTGTCCGCCGCCCGAAGTGCGGCGAGCCGGCTGACGCTACCGTCTGTGCACCCCCGGCGACAGCCGACCGGCCTCCAGGAGGCAGGGAGGTTCCGAAGGCATCCGCTCGCTAATTCGGGGCTGAACGCGCCGGCGTGCGAGCCCGCCTGCCTGCCAAATGTAACTGTGAAGTGAGGTGGAAAGTGAGCCGGGTGCCTCCCCTGACGGATCTCATTGGGCAGAGCGCAGAGGCAGGTCTTCCCCTTGGAAAAGCACGGGAGCAGTCCCCCCTCCCCGCCCCCTCCCGGCCTCCCCCCCCCACCCCCGCCCGCAGTCGCGCGCTGGCGCGCCGGCTCTTCCCCGCGACCAAGTGGGCGCACAACTTTTCGCTCCTGGCTCGCGGGCACGCCCCGCGCGCCTCCGCCGCCGAGCCCGCCGCTGAGGATGCGCCCCTCCGCGCCGCGCGCGCCGCCAGCCCAGGGCCGGGTTCCCGGGAAGCCGACTGGCGGGCGGCAGAGGAGTGCGGTGCGGCTACCCGCCGGCGGTCTCCCCTGAGTCTCACCCGAGCCCTGCGCTAGCGATACCCTGAAACGCGTCTCTGTGCCCCGCGGGAGGAGGAGGACGCGACGGGGCAAAGGGGTGCGTGCGGACAGCTTACCTCGTCGCTATTGCAAGGGCCTCTTGCGGACAGAGTGGATGTTCCTAATATCGCTGCCTGCTACTCAGACGCCACGGCTGAGAGGTGGTGTCGTGACCTGTGGGTGGTGCGCATCGCTGGTATCCCCACGCTGCTCCTCCTCTGGGCGACGGGATGAGGGAGAGCAGAGGGGCAGCGGGGAGACGCGCGCGGTAAGTAGGTGTGCAAAGAAGAGCAGAACTTGCTTGGGAAATAAAGGGAGAGGTTGTTGGGTCTTCCCCATGTGCCCGGCCTCTGGGTCTCCTCGCAGGCACCACGCCTGCAGCTCCTCTGCGGCCCCTTCAAGTTCTCTGATGGACTCCACTCAGGTCTTGGGAAATGGCCACCCTGGGATAGGGCCGCTGCAAGAAGGCATCACGTATCAGGAGGTCCAGATTTCTTTTCTTCTCATCACTAAGGCTAACTGGTGGAGATGTTCTGCCACTGTGATCATCTTTTAATAAAATGAGTGAAAAATAAGGTGAACTTTTTCTTTGTTATTTAACTTCTCTCCAGAGGGCACCCCGATGTAGTCCACCGCCTGTGCTAGAGGTGAGCTATGAAGAAGAGTTTTACCACCTGGGGATGGAGCTGAAACAGAAGGGGAAATGGGTGCAGAGAAGGTCTGTAGAGCTTGTCTGTCAGACTCAAATGAAGGAGGCAGAGCGAACAGAATGAGAAAACAAGCAAAATATGCTTATAACATGTATGCAGATTTGACATTTGTGTGTAGGTGCTGCATCTAACATCCCATCGTGAAATGCTGAAAAGAATATTGACTATAGGTCTAATATCAGTCGGTTTCACATTCTAGCTTGTCATGGGCAAGAAACGTAGTGAAATAATTCAGAGAGGTTGAGGTTGAAGGAGAGGAGGTAGTTCCCTCTTCCCCAGATAATCACTACATTGTTGGTTCTCTTCTCAGACTGCGTCTGCTTACAGGGTATTTACGAATTGGCCAATTGTGTCTTGGAAAAAGGAACAGCAGTCAAACCTCAATCAAATTATAGCTGCTGCTAGACCAGACAGTCCCAAGTGGGCAAACAAATAGATCCCACTTGGGGTCGTGTTTAATTTTCAGACATTCATTTTCACTTTGAACAAATGGTCTGAACCCTTCTTGGGGTTAGAATTCTAACATCTGTGAGAATTAAAACAAAGTGTAGGTGTTACTGAAGGCGGGGGTTGTCACACGTGACAAATGCATCGCAAAAGAAAGCCAGAATAGTAGAGGGAGAGACACTAGCCTCAAATCTCATTTTCTTAAAGAAAAAATAAAACCTATTTTGAAAAGGTGAAGAGAGTCAGAATCCAATGGCTTTAGAAACCCCAGGTTAGGATGAGTTTTCATTTGACATCCCTTATCCACAGTAACTCTCAGAGCAGTTACATGCATTGTCTTCACTGAATTTTGGGGCAACTAGAACTCAAGGTAGTCCTCTCTAAACGTGCTAATCTCTGCTTAAAGCACTGAAGTAAGAACTTCCTACTAATTTTCTCCTAATTCTTAGGAGAGGTCTGGATGATTAAGCAGTGTGAAAGAGGATTAGGATAATGTTTAAAAGCCCTATAAGGGTATTTCTAAAATAATCAGGGATGCTGAAAGACAAGGCATTTGCCTGTTTAACAATTCCTCCCACTCTTCTCAGGATGCAGTGTAATGTCACAGTGGGGAGGGCCTAACTCCTTAGAAACTGTTTTCAACATCCTCTCCAGGGTTACAGCCTTCCAGCAGGAAGGGGAATGGGCCACACAGGCTTTGGGGAACGGTGACTGGAATCGCATGGGATGTGGAGCACTGCAAGAAGGACGGGTGAGGAATTACCTGCTAGGGCCCAAGCATGTCATCCGAGGAGGAGCTGGGCTAGGGGGGCTGGGGATGAGGGGGAGGACCGCATACACAGCAGCCTTGGCCAACTGAGGCACAGAGCGGGATGAGACGGGATGTCTCCAGCCTGGGTTTCTGTGAGAGACAGACAATTTTGCAGACGAGTCCACTGCAGCTGAATGAGATAGAGAGGGATTCCATGTGGTAAAGGTGTGGGTGGAACTTTTGTTATAATATTGACTATAGGAGACAGTAAACGAAGTGACTGGTTATTGGAAAGTGAGAAATGAGCTGCCTTCTAGGAAGCAGAGCCCTAGCAGGGCAATGGGGGGCGCAAGAAAAGAAGATGCCAACTTCCTTAGCTGTAGCAGGAAATGGCACAGTGGAACTTACCTATTATTTGCTGCATTAAAATGCAACCTGCTTTCTTCTTTTCACTCTTCAGTACTTCATTAAAAACAAAAGTAAACTTTAAAAAAACCAAAAAAGCAAAAATTAAAAAAAAATGTGTTTGCCCTGGGATGACTGGGGAGGACTTTCAGATTTATTAGATTGCTTTTACATTTGGATGAATGGATTTATTCATGGACTGTCTCCTAAAGGTAGGGCTGAGGAGTGTGGATTCTATGAATGAAAGGTTTTCACATGTGATACCAACAAAATGCAGAATAAAAACTAAGAATCTGAAATATGAAGAAAGCCAAAAAGTACACATAATACCCATTAATACAGTATTTTACAGGAATACAGAGTACTTCTTCCACATTTCAGGTTATGGAATCCTAATGAAGAAATTGGAAAATCACCATTTTTTGTGTGTGCATGGGGGTGGGAATAACTAATATCTAACAACTGTTGCATTAGGCAAAAGAAACTTCGACATTTTATTTTGAATTCCAATACTGGAGCATAAGTCATAAGATCGAAAAAAATAAGAAAGCAGTTTTAAGATGTCTATACATGTTTAAATAAATTTAGGAGAGTTTTGTTTTGTTTTTAAGTTTAGAGTCTGTTTTAAACTGGTGTCTTTACTCAAACCATGAAAAGATATGAGGGTGCTTAGGTTAAGTGAAAGTGATCCTGGTGGTTCTCAAACTGTCATCTCTGGATCAGATACTCCCTCTCCATCCTCAGGAAACTTAGGGTGCAAATTCTCATACACTGTGAATATGGGTGGGGCTCAGCAATCTGGATTTGAAAAAAATGTTCCAGGGAATTCTGTAACTCCCTAAAGTTTGAGAACCCGCCCCTGGTGATTCTTTTCTCAGGTAGTATGGATGAAGATGAGAAGACTAAAAATAAAGTGATAGATTGTATTAATACTTATTGTTTTTGTCCTGGATTTTCTAAGACAGAATGCTATACTAAAAAATAAAATAAAGAAAAGTATATGCCTATTAAATTTATCATGTGATTACATGACCGATGTTTATTACAGGATTTGAAAAAAACTAGCCTGATTACTTCAGAAATGGTTATAGCTTCTTGGGGTAAAACCATCACTGAGCTTGCTATTCAGATTTGTGCTGGTCTTCATTTCTTGGCTGCTGGTTTTGGCTGTCCCTGAAATTAGGCCTGGATCTCTTAATATTGACTATAATTACTAATCTTGAGCTTGCCATTACGTTTTTAGTAAGTGGAGGAGGTATAAACGCTTTCTGAAAGCCACATCTGTGCTGAGTATTTTGGAGAAAGTTTTCAAAATGGCATTATCTCCCATCTTCCCAGGTGCTAGAAAAGAGATAAGCTCCAGCTCAGCTTCTAAACAGAAACTGACGTGTGTATGGGGAGGAGGGAGGGGGCGGGGACAGGAGATAGATTTAAGGGAACTGGTACAAAGCTATCAAATAAGCCAGCCCAGATTTGGTGGATGACACACTTAGCATTTTTGGTGTTTTGTTTAGTTTTTGTTTCTGAAAGAGAACAGCAACTAGATTAAGATTCCAGATGTAAGAGCTGTGAAGAGGGGAGGGGATTGGGCGGGAGGAGGTGGGGGAGTTCATTGTGTTTTTTTAAAAAAGAAAGAGAACAAACAGAGGGGAACGTTCATCCCAGTCCCCTGAAGTACCACTAGTTTGGTATATTACGTTGCATTCAATATTAATACATAATAATTAAATTTAATTGATCTTGCCTGATTTAGAAGATAGCATCATTTGAAATTCGCACACTTACAATATGTGTCTGTATGTACATGACACATGCATATGGGAATGAAGATACGTGGGGGGTGGGGGGGAAGGTACATTATCACCTCTTACTCATTATATCAGCCTAAAGTGGAGTTTACAGTTCTGACTAGTTCTTACCAAGTTGATTATTAGAGAGAAGATTGCTATATATGCATGTGACAAATGCTCTAAGAAGCTGAAAGGAAATTACATTACTGAGAATATGAACAGAATGTCTTTATTAATCAAAGCTGCATAGTGCTAAGGATTTTTTTGT